GTAGAAGCCAAGCCTAACTTCATTTGAGCTTCTTTATGAACTCGTCTTCACTTTGTTAAATTATTGACTCTTCTCCACATGTATATTTAACAAGATTTTTTGAGTAAAATCGTGTTATTTCTTGTTCTTGTCTCCTTTTTATCTCCTCTGATTTAATTTTTCCAGTAAAGTTGTCAGACATGTGGAAGAACTTATCCATCACTTACTGCAGGACAATCAACTATTTATTTTCTGCAGTCGGGTCATAATAACAGAGTATCTTTACAGTTTGTCCCAGTTAATATTGACACTGTTATTTAAATAGTACTGATCAAACAAGAATCAGTCAACCAAACTACACTGAGTCTAACGCTGATGCTTTGTTTGGCGGCTAATGTTTAGGAAAAAAACTATTTTTTTATGCTTTGATGTCACCATTTCTTCCCTGTTTTTGTTGCTGCTCATCAAGCATTTGACTCTTCAAACCTCTCAGCTCCTCTCCGCATCACAGAAACTCTCAGTTGAAGAGCTTTTTACCCTTTTTGTGAGATAAAACTCCTCTGCTGGTGAACAACGATATGAGCAGATGAAACCTCTGATGTTTTGAGCACCAAGTTTTAACTTCCAATGAGCACCGTTTGAGCTGCTTATCTCTTTCATGGTATCTGGCTTTAGCTTAATTTTTAAAGGAAAGAGAAAAAAAAACTTCTGAGATGGTCTTTGTTGTAGTAAAAGTACCTATATCAGACAGTTCAACAACAATCATGTGCTTTTATCTCAGCCAGCAGCTCTCAGGATAAATTTATGTGGTCTGTACTGCAGTCATCATTACTGTATTAAATCATATTTATTGTTTAAACAAACAAAATCATCTGATCATTTATTATCACTGGCAGATTTTATTTCCAAAATGGATTTCTGGTTTCTGTTTGATCGGTATTTGACTCAGACGTTAGATGGCATTAAGGCTGAAATGGTTCACTCAGACATCCCAAAMAAGTTCAGTTTGGTCTCACAGAGACTGTAGTGTCTGCAGGAGTCCTTGTACCTGTCTGCCTCAGTAATCTGCCAGGGAGCAGACAATCATCAACGGGCCTTATCTCTGCTGCTCAGGAGCCGCAGGGAAAGGAGGCAGAGAAAAAAAGAAAAGTAGGCCCAGCAAAAGCAAAAACAGAGAGTAGACTGAAGAAAGGTTCAGTCAACACACATACAGCCCATTAAACACACAAATCTACAATCACACACACAAACAACTTCCTCTGGATAGACTGAGTYCATCAGATATTTACTGTGTTGTTTCTGCAAAGCAGGCAAAAAAAGATTTTCCACAGAGAGCAATGAGAGCATCAAGAATGAAGGACAGCAGAGATTAGCTGAACATTTCCAATAAAGCTCAGCAGATGGATTTACACAGTGCTGATAGAGAGGGTTGAGTTTGATGCATACTGAGAGGGTAGAATGCACCATTTGCATCATAGTCATTTAAAAACATGCATCTGATRCTAAATTTCACATGTGGGCAATGAAACTAAATCCATCTTTTTAAATTACTTTCTATGAGCCAAAGACAGTAAAAAGTCAGGTTTACTCAGTAGATCTCACATGGAGCTGATGGCTTCCAGTAACTCAKTGTTTTTACATCAAACTGTGGATTCTGATATTTGGCTTCACAGTAAATTAGAGCTGACCGAGGAAAAGAGTGTTATTATGACCCGAACAGTGGGTTATTCTGAAAGTGAGTATGAATTGAGATTTACTGTTTTAAAAACAATTATCAAACATAATTGACAACGACTCTCTGAGGAATGTGTGTGAAAAGGCAGGGATATATGAAAAGTTGTTTTAGTCACATTAACAGAAAATTTTCTGCTGTAACAACTGTCTTCCTTTATGTTTAATCACCTTTGTTTTTCAGTAAAAGTTTGTATTTGTTAAAACATTATAAAAATACTTCTTGGAAACCAATAGTATGTTTTTCACATGATGCTGCCAACAATTTTTTATAAACATGCTTAAGACTTAATACTCAGTGATTGAATACTAACAGTTTGCAACAGGCATTGTAGCAAAACAGGTTTTTAGTCTATCTAAAAACACCAAAATCTGAAATACTCAGTTTGTATAGAGTCCAGCCTGTCACCTTTTTGTTTCTAAAAAATAGTCATTTCAGTGGCTTTGATGCACTTTTGAAGCAGAAATGTAAGGGAGGTCACAGAGAAAGTAGAGAGGTCATCCTGACAGGAAAGGGGGACAGAAAGCCATGGTATGCTGAAAATTGTCTGCTTTTACGCTGCCAGTATGTAGGATAAAAGGTTACAAGTCAGCAGAACAATGTTAAATGGAACTTTTTTTTTTGCTTACTGCAGTTTGTAACACACATCTGGATGAAGACATATGCACCACATCCCAAAACTAGAAGCATTCAAAGAGTGCAAACCTCTGCCAAGGCCAATTTCTGCTATCTTGTAACAGTGAAGAATCCTTCCAAAAATTCCTGGATCCGCAATGAGATCCGGATCATCACCAAAATTTAATGGTGTGTTCCTTTGGCCAATACCTACCTGTGTAAAAATGTTATGAAAATCCGTCCATAAGTTGTTGAGTAATTTTCTCAACAGACAGACAAGCTACGTTTCTATTGACCATAAAAATGTGTAAATTAGAATTTCGAAAATAAATTTGCTCAATGGAAACACGTCAGTTTAGAAAAAAAACTTTTCGGTTTTTGCGCTAGGATGGGGTGGTTTTTCCGATGTATCAAAGTTTGTGTGTTTCGCAAAACTGCAATGGATACACTTATTTCATATCAAGGGAGTCATGTGATCAACAACCGGCTGTTTCTACTAGCTAAAAAGACGACGAAGAAGACAACAGGAAGTAGAAGTAGTAGAAATCAATGAAATTGTAAAAGAAAGTTATAAACTCACTGACTACAATTTCCCAAAAACGCAGCATATGTAGCCGCTCCCAAGTATAAGAGGCATGTTGCTCGAAAGCCTCGATAAGATGCTGCCGTGTCCTCTGATGGCTGATGATGAGCGCTAGTGTCGTGGTAACAATATGCTATGTGTTTACATCCATTGCCGCCATGTTTGTAATGACTTATCGCGAGAACAAACGTATTCACGCGTGACTTTAATAGCATTTCTTACTTAATGGAAACACCGCAATTGCGAAACCGTGTTTTTTCGACATTTACAGAATATCGACAAAGTTTTGCGCACATTTTTAATGGAAACGCAGCTACAGACACATGCGACTGAAAATATAACCCCTTTGGCGAAGGTAATTATACATATATATATATATATATATATATATATATATATATGCAATCCTCAGTATGCAGTGTGGTTTTTGATCGGAGTTCCGTAAAATAATCAACATTCAATCAGATTGATTAATATCTATTGAACGCAGAAGCTGGGTGTAGTTTCCTTGGCTGCACTGAAAAGTATTATTGCGAGCTCAGCAGACACGGTTTTCACCGGGTGTTTGGTGGTTGTTGCTGCCGATAGAAACAAGGGGGTGGGGTGTGCTCTGTGATGAGGAARCTCGGTTTGGAGATGCAGCCTGGAGGAGGAGCTGATCCCAAAAGGCAGCTSTAGGCCCAACCGGTCRTTTTGATCCTCTGGCTRGCTGCCTCAGGACACGACAAGATTCCTCAAACATGCATGAATGAGTCAAAGCAAGACTCTGGGCATGTTTTTGATGAGAGGATAACATTATAACATGACATAAAGCTCAAAAAAGTTGATTTTACATGATATGGCCCCTATAATCATCACACTTTTTTTTACAAACCTGCAAAGAAACTGCCTGCAGTTGTTTCCTCTGGTGGTTTTAATGGTTTTATTTAAAGATAAGGTGAGTAAAGCACAGAACTAATGACTGTAGTAAAAGCAGAGGTGTGAGTTTTTCTTGGCTCGGTTTCTCCTGCAGTCCACAACAGCAAGTTCAGGTCTTTTAGAAGAGCCATTAAGAAAATTGGAGTTGTGGGCAGTGATTCAGAGATCTATTATGTTTGCCAGTAATGCTTTATAATTTGGTTATTTTTAATTTAACTTAAACTAACCTCAGGAACAAAGACTTTCCCCTTCAGTGGTGTTTTATGAATGTGTTTAACACACACTGCTGTCTAAGCAGATATCTTATTTTCTTATGGTATTTTAATGATGCTATGGTTGGTTATGGAGTCTGTGTTCAGCAAAGCATTAAATATGATGTTTGGTATTTTTGGGAACTTTTAGATCTTCACTAAAACAAGTTTCAGTAAACTGTAATGAATGGTTCACAAACATAGTCAGTGCAATGTGTGCATATATAAAAAAAAGTAAAACAAGTACTTAGTAACAAATGTTTTTCTTTTCAAAATTAACTATTTTAGATTTGTCGAAGAGACTAGTGTTTTACTGCCCTCCATGTGCCAGTTACTGCACTATGCTGTGCAAAATCTAAGAACAAACCACTTCACAGCCCTAAACACACAGCATAAACAATGCTTTTTAGCTAACTGCAACAAACAGCTGAATCAATGATCCATGAATAATTAAGAAGTGAAGAAACAGACCAAAAAGCAGCAAGAGAACAAATCTTGTTCAAGTCTTTTTTCTTTTTTTAAATTTAAATATGTTTATTTTTTCCTGCATCAAACATATCTAGACAGAAACTTGAACCAGGAAGTAAAAGCAACTGGACATCCATGTCCGCTCCTGCTGCTGATTCATATTTGTCATGCTGTCGAATCGATGGGTCTGAGCAAAGTAAATTTGGTTTTAGAACAGTGGTTTGAACAGCACTCCCTGGCTATAACACAGATTACAGCATAATGTAACGTTTTAAACTGGCATCCACATGGAGATGACAGTCCTTTATCCAAACTTGCAGCACACAGATGGCAGGAAGAACTCAGCCTAAACTCATTGCTATTCATCGTTTTCTCTTTTTCTCATTCGTTCTCCCCATGCAGTTATTGAACAGAACAGGTGAGGGGCTGCTGATTACAAAACATCATCTCCTACCTTTGATCTCCTGAGGTGTGGGGCTTTAATCCATCTTGCAGCACAGGAGGCTGTCTGATCAGGGGTGTTTGCGGTAGTCACTTAGCTACTCATCATCTCACGTCCACATGTAGCTCGTGCTCTTGTACAGGTGTGTGTGAATGCACACCCAGCTAGGGTTTGGATTCTGCAGGGCTGAGATGTTGCTCGCTGTTCTGCAGGAACAAAAAGAAAAGAAAAATCAGCCAAAAAAAMCTAAAAAGAGATAATAAATATCATTTATAAAACACACGTAGTATTGGYTAAAGCTGTGACACTGTCATGGTTTCAGAAGAATGAACACAGAATGGCTCAAATATGTCGAGAAAAAATAAAAGAAACAAATGCTGACAAGGCAGTAAAAATCTACAAAAACAATGTTAAATTGCAACAACAATTCTCAACTGAAGATTGATGGCAATTAAGTGACTTTATAAACGAGCTGAAGTGTTGAGGGAGACACCTGGGCAAACTCACTGAAAACAGGTGTAAGGAGGACATAGGAGCAGAGACTGACTGTGGAAAAAGACACAGGTCTCCAAAAGTTAAAGGCTAATTTTTATCTATTAGTGCTCGGAGTATATGTTGGGGAAGACTCAGCTGCCACACCAAATATTGGCTCAATAARTGTAAAACTAAAACCATTCTTCCCAGTTTTGTTTTAGCTAAGGTTGCTTATCTGTGGGGCCATCTTGAACATAGTCCACTCCAAAAGTTAATAATTTGTAGAAATTCATGCAATGATTGATATCTGAGAGTTTCATTAAGATCCACTCAATTGTTGCTTACCTATTTTACTAAAATACACACATACACTYACACACATACACACGTACAGAAGCAAAACCATTGGTGCTGTTTTAAAGGACTTGTTTGAGGGGGCGGTAACAATTGATTATTTGTGTCCAAACATGATGCATACTGTATATGTACATATTATGCAAAAGTACAATAGGTTTAATGCTGTAAAAGGCTTGAGTACCCTTGAAATAGTATTACACATCATGTCTAATATCCTTGAGGCTAACTTTACATTTCAAAGCAAAATATTAGAGTGGTGTACTTTCAGTACAAACCTCCAATTCTGCATTGAAACCTTTGTCTGCAGCCCTGTTCCTAAAGCAGAGGACAGTCGTTTATCCAACACAGATCTGTCTAACCACCAGTTCTCCAGTAACATTTTGCTGATGGTCTCATTTTACTGTACATATCTTACTCAGCTAGATAACCTCCCTCTTCATCCTGCACATCCAACATTTTTACACTGCCCCTGATACATAATTTGAAGGGCCTTTCAAGCTGATCAGCATTCCAAACAACACTCAGCACACAATATTACCAGACAAGTTCCACAGTAAATGAGAAAGTAAATGTCACTTACAAGACGAGCATTAATCTCATGTCATTGCATTTTAATGGYACCCTTACTCAGAGGAGAATTAAACCTCTCCCCAGAGACCGACCTAATCACTTAGCACAACGGTGAAATCAACGTCCTGCGTCCCAACAGACAGACAAGCTGTCACGTCACGTATGAACATCTCTACGCATTCACAATCTCCATCCGTCTCTCCAAATTCAAGAACTGATCCTTTTAAGTGCAAATTTCTTCAAGTTCCACATGCGCCGCCCGATGGAGCTCGCAACATGAGGGAGTGATTGAATCTGGCCTTTGATCTATGAATACTTTAAATATCTGGCCTGCCAAAATATGAGGGCTGCTCATGTAAACGACCTCAAACTCAGCTCTGCACTTTCAAATGTCCTCAAAAAATACACCCACTGAGGCTCAAATAGACTGAATCAACAGAGAAAAAGTGAGGAAGACTCRGATATACACGCATGCAAAATAAACCTATTTATTACACTGCTAAGTGTRTTGTTCAAGCATGCTTCACATTATCTAATTTAAAGGGTTTTTCTTTTGATTATTCCTTAGGATGCTTCACCTCTTGTCTGATAGATGAATTATACGCTAGATGGAAAAATAATTATGGAGGAGACGGCCTAATCTGTAAAGATCTTTTACAGAAAAATAGTGAAAATTGTCACAAACAAAACAAACAACTCCTGTAACTTCTAATGTAATTGATGAATGATTGTTTGAAAGCTTAAATCATCTGAATTCACCTCACAGTGCAGACTTTTGTGGAAATAACCCAGAAAAATGCATTTCTTAAACACTGAAGACTGCAATCATAAACCTAATCCAAATTTAGAAATACGTTGCATTTGTTTTGGTCATAAATTAGAAATTTAAAGGCAAAAAGTTCTCAAAATGATGTCTTCCTTATATATTTAAAAAAGGTTCTCAAGAAATAAATCAAACAGATCATTTAGAACTTGCACTAATAACTAAAAGACTTCCTAATCAATAGTGTAAACGATTGAGAATTGATTTTTTTAATGTGTCTCATCAATACCAGTAAACATAACAGTATCTCGGTTATTGCAATTTTACGTGGAATTGTTAAAAGTTGGTTTTGTGAGTTGTGAACTGTTGTTCAAGTTTATTTGTTATTTCTGTGTAAAGATGTGAGCACAAATTAAAGGGCACTAATAAACTTTGCACCTCATTAAAAAAGTGATTAAAAAGGATGTTTTTTTTTTCCTTTTCTCCTARGCTGCTGCTCAAGAGAAAACAAATATCCCCTAATGCACCTTGATGAAATCTTGCTTTAAAGCAGGTTTTGTTCTGATTCACCCCCAAACAGCTTGTATAATTTTAAGCGTTGCAACAATTCATGAAATGCAAATCGACAGTTCATTGTGAAATCAATGCAACATGGAAAGGGTGGGAGAGCTGTATGGATTTTTCTGTTTTTGCTGCAGCAGAACCATCAATCCCTATAGGTGATCTCAGGAAAGGGACAAACAGCAGAGAACAAGCAAAAAAGCTGCTGCAGCTGAAATGGAGGCTCAGGAAGGTTTGAAGATTGTTTTTTTTTTTCCTGTAAAGGGCACTACAGCAACATACCACTCAAGCACTTTAGTTAGAAATAAACTTCAAATTACTACAAATAGAAATAAGTCTAGAACATTCTGTGAGATCTGAAAGTTTTATTTATTAGTACTTTAAGGATGGATAAAAGAACAACATTTAATTAAAAAGATGACATAAAATTAGCTTAATCTGGCCTACATTTTCAGTCACGAGTACCAAAATATGCCTGGTTTGAACAGCTGATGTTGTTCAGATGACTAACACAAAACTCAAATGGGAAAATCTATGTTATTTTTTTTTTACTGAAAACTCATAAATGAAGCAGATAATGTTAAAAGAAGGCAACAAAAAATACTTGACTTAAAAAAGTCCAAGCAACTATTTATTTTGGTGCCAGATGACTTATAATCTTGATGTATTAATCCAAATAATCTACAACAAAATGTATTTAGTACTAAGAACTACTAAGAACATTTGTTGGGGTAAGCCCACATTAAACAGATGCAGATGATCTATGTTCACTGTGAAAACAATGCAACAGGGAAAGGGTAACACTATAAAATATTAAGTGACAAATGACACAACACTCCCATCACACACCGGGTGGGAAGGAAATGTGACTGCTGCACCACAAATACACAGAAACAAAACAAGACACAAATCTTCTACATTTTCTTCCATATAACACAGTGAATCTGGACTATTATATGCAGACCAGCAAAGATTCAATCTATTTTTTTTTTTCATTGAGCTGTGGGAACAGTTTTGGTACATTTATTCCAAAACACATTTTTTTGTCATTTTATTTAGAATCAACCCAGAACATAAAAACATAAAATAAATAAAAATAACAAAGAGAAAATCCTTCCTCAAAGAAACATCACATGTTGAACAAGAGCTGGACTGATAAAAAAAAGTATGAAAGAAACAAAAGGAGATTACATGATACTGAGTCTAAAGAGTGAGGGGTTTTYATTATCATTTATGCCACAGAAAGTACTTTTTGTATTGTAGTGAAATGCACATAGATTTATTTCTAGAGGTCATGACTTCACCAGCTTGACCAGACAGTGGAAGATGATTGACAGGAKTTCACTACAGACTGAGTCTCAGTCAGGTGATGCATTRAACTCAAAGGAGCCTCAGTARRAAAGAAAACAAACCAAGCTTTAAGAGCCTATTAGGCTTCATGTTTCATGCTTGTCACTGTTCTGGTAAATAGTCTTGTGAAAGCCATTTCAGCTGACAGCCTGCGTGTCTGCTGACCCTGTAATGCTTTGTGATCATAAAAGACTTTGCAGTAAATGGACACTGACCAATCAGAGCGTGCAAACAGGATGGACTGTCAATGTAAGGAAAAGGTGACAGAAAGATTAGATGGATGGCTGAACGAGGAACGTCAGTGTGTGTCGGAGATGAAGACACAAAGGTTGTGAAGTTTGCGACATGAGGCTGAGAGACTGTTGGAGTCAGGATGAACAGCGAGGCAGGAGGAGAGGGGAGAGGAGGGGGGGTATCAGGAGCTGGAGAGGCTGAGTGAGTGGCAGACTGCCACGCTGGGCATTGCAGGACAGAACAGAGTCATTTAGGCGTCTGCAGTCGATGCTGCTGAATGGCAACAGTGCTTCCTCTGCTGCGAGGCTCAGGGACGTGCCTGGAGTGTAGAGTAGTTGTCTTCCTGTGGCATGGAGCTTTGAATCAGTTCTGCACGACACACACACACACACACACACACACACACCCACCCACACACACACACACACACACACACACACACACACACACACACACA